GAGAAGACGGCATTGTGCCCTTTAAATGTGCTGAGGTAGATATGATGAGTATTCTAAATAAGTGTAGGGGGGACACAGGAGTTCCGGGAGGTGTCGAGTGTGTCTGTTGCCTTGACCGCGGTGATGGACTCGTGGGTGTACGCATAAGCCCACTCATCAGATTGCGGACATTAGGTACATGGCAGCTTTTTGTATGTCAACCAGCTTTACTGATGAAGCTGTTAGGAAAGAATGCTGTTGGGAACGATAACTGTTTTGTGTTTCCTGATTATTTTAGGATAAAGGAATACAGTTGGTTTTTCATACTGATCCCGTATCCTTGACCTCACTAAACTCATTCATAAGTTGTTCATAATTTTCTGGACTCCTATGACTTCCTGTAAATAGAACGTGCCATCTGTGGGGTAGAGAGCTTCACTTCTTCCTTTACGAGATCCGTGCTGCAGCGGCCAGAGCTCCCCGTCACAGGTCAAAGTGAGCGTCTTGGCCTGGCGTTCAGTCTCGGTGGAAAAGCGTGCGCCTTGTCAGTAGTAAGCGTGGATTTTCCTACAGGAAAGGTGGGCCTGTGGTGTGGGGGCCTCTCGTCCAGCCCATGGGCCTCTGCAGCTCTGTCCTTCCATGTGGTGAGGCTCACCCAGTAGGAAGGCCGGTGGCACCTTCGTGAAGAACTGGGAAGGCCTCGGGAGTTGTGTCTCCTCATTTCTGCTTATATCACATTTGAATTCCTTTGTTTGCCTATTAAGTAAATCACATCAATTTAAACCGCATCCCCCAGAAAAATGTTGCTTCTAATGTCGCCATCAGGCTTTATGTTCCAGCCTTGTTCACGTGTCGTACCAAAGGGCAACCCTCCGAATGCCAATCAAAACCACACTGAGATAGCACCTCACACCAGTCAGGAGGGCCACCATCCAAAAGGCAAGAAATAATAAATGCTGCTGACAGCACGGAGAGAAGGGGGCCCTTGTACTCTGTTCGTGGGAGTGTGAATTGGTGCAGCCATTGTGGAGAGCAGTACAGAAGGTTCTCAAAAATTAAAAATAGAAATACCATATCATCCAGCAATTCCACTTCTGGGTACTGACTGAACGAAATGAAATCACTATTCCCCAAGAGGTCTCTGCATCCCCATGCTCAGTGCAGCAATAGTCACAACAGCCAAGGCGTAGATGACCTCAGTGTCCATCGGCAAATGAATGGATAAGCGACACCTGCCCTACTCAGTGCCCCCCCCCGCATCCAACAGTGCGTGCAGAGCTCTGCTGTACTGCCAAGACCAAAATATGCTGCCTTAAATCTTCATTCCTTATCTACACTGATTTCATGATCAATTTAAATGTGATCTTTTTCTCTGTACGTCTTATTTATAACTGCTATGCATAGTTTAACAGCTAAAGCGTATTATTTTGAGTGCATTCTAGATGCCTAGTAAATTTACATGAGTATTCAATGAAGTCTTCTGATAATATGAAAGAGATAGTAGAAATGCATCACCCTTTATTGTAATGATCTAAGAAAATACTCCAAAATAGTAAATTGGCAGTAAGAAAGAATTTCAATATCATATCCATCACCTTGGCATAGTTCTGAAAATGAATGTTCAATCTTCAGGTGTGAAAGGAATATGGAGATGAGCTGTGGAAATGCAAACAGCTGTGTTGCATGTTGTCTGTACTTGGAAGGCATTTTGATTAATGCAGCAGTATTTGTGGGGGGGGGAAACTCATTCAGCAAATACAGAGTAACCCAGAAAAACTTCTATTTCCATATGCTGAAAGGGGATAGACTTCTTCATGTGGAAACCCATGTGGGATAGAATATGCACTGAGAGGAGGGGACTGCCTCTCGCTGCAGTGACGGACAGCTTCCTCTGGGCGGGGCTCTTGGGGAACATTCTGCGTGCATGAAGAGATGCATGCCTGTGATGTATTCTGACCTATAGGAGGAATAGAGAAATCAGGAAAGAGGGATTGAAAGAGGGAGAGATGGAGTAGAGGAGACGACACTGCACTGGCCCTAAGTAGCCTGCTGAATGAATGGAGGTGGTAGCTGATCTCCTGAGTGGTCCTCGGGGTGGAGGCTTCTGACATAGTCCTACCAAACGGCGCCAAGCCTGCTGGAAGCTGGAATGCAAATCAGGCTAACAGTCCACCCGGGTGAGAACCTGTAATATCGACTATGAGAGGCAGGTGGAGGCATAACACGGCCAGGTATGAAATAGAGTAACTTCTTCAGACTTTTCTCAGATTCCCTCACCTTCTTGCCAGCCTGTCTTTATCCATTGCTTCTCCCAGTTCTCTTACACCAAAATCTCCCAAATATCAGAGAAAAATTTATAGGAAGTAAAATTCCTAGGAAGGGTACCCACATTTGGTTTGCTAAAAGTAATCCACCGTGACATGTTAGGAAAATATGTGGGAAGATTCCTCTTGGGGGTTGAGCTGCCACAGAAGTAAATGTGCCACTGAACCACAGAGACCCAGGTATCCCCTGGACGGTGGCCCTCCACAGCTGGCAGAGTGCCGCCTGCCATCACTGAAGCTGGGGGCTCCTCATGAGGAGCACATAGCCCGCATTGAGCAGGTTAGTTACAGGATTAATACTGGCTGTTACGCGGTAGGTGCCCACCGCCCGCTCCCCTTTACCCTGCGTGCTGAAGGAGGGCATACATGAGCATGGCAGTCAGGGAGCAGCTCCAGGAAGCACATCCACCTCACAACTGGCTGGCGGTTTTCAGGGAGAAAATCTTTGGATGAATATGAAAGGAATATACTTACAATGACAGGAGATCTTAAAGCATCCAGTGAAGGGGAAGATTCCCCTGATGGAAAAACTCCACAAAGACCTCATGCAGTGTGTGTGTGGGGGGGTGACTCTCGTGACACACTGAGCCAAATGATCTCACTGTCCATCCTGCAGTCACTTTCATTCGTGTGGTAAAATATGTGAATACAAACATGGCGAGTGTATGTATGTGGATACGTGTGAACGTGGGTATGAATATGTGCTGTTACAGGTAAATCATAGACACAGGCCTGTTTGAGTCTGGAAATGGGTGCAGAGCGTTGGCGTGGTGGATCAGCATGGAGCAACCAAGATGGAGGCAGAGCTATCTAGATACCACTCTAGTCATGGTGTACCTAGAATAAATCATTGAACATCGTCTGGTTCTTCTGTCAAGTGGGGGAAATAGCACCAGTCCTACTATTCTCACGAAGAAGATAGCAATGTATAATTAAAAACCTGTCTCACATCCATTATCTCTTTTAATAATAGCAGCTGTGACAATCTTGATAAGATAAACGTGGAAATTGGTTTTTAAAGTTTAAAGCAATATAAAATATTCATTATACCTAGAAAAGAAGTATTTGGTTTTAAGATTTGAGTCATGATTAATGCACGTAATGTCTTCCTAAAATAGGAAGGGCAGGTGAAAACAAAACACTATGACGCCTGGTAACCAGTGAAGATTTGCTGCCTATCGCTGAACTTACTGTGTTCCAGCTCAGCATCAGCCCTAGTCACCAAGCGAGAGTCTGACGTCCTGACTAGCAGGGTGCGTGTGCGTGTGCGTGTGCGCCTGTGCGTGCGTTTAGTCTACTCACATTGGTCTCATACTCTTCTAACCCACTGAAATCACCTGCTGTTCAGAACAAACCTGCCTTCTCGTTTGGCAAGATGCTGCTCTAAATGTCCGGCCCATTGATTTGATGACGTACCTTCTGCCTTGCAATGTGGCTTCTGGCTCGGTGACCTAGCGTCCTCTTATTTCAGGAGACAATTTCTTCTCCCTCAGATGTGGAGACAGCATAACTCTTACTGAAATTCCTTTCCTGAGAAAACCACATGATACTTGAAGTTCTATAAAAACTATAAATCTGGTCTACTTTTATTTTAGTATGTATTTTGTGATTATTAATATTCTTTCATCTTTATCGACTATTCATAACATATTGATGTAAAGCCACTTTCATCCTAGTGAGGAGGGTCCCAGCTCTGCCAAGTGTCTGAATGATGGGGTTTGAATCGGTCGTTGCCACCACAGGGGAAAGAGGAAAAAAATCTGAGGAAAATAGACAATGATGTGAACGTGGGACAGAGGAAAACCACAAAGCTAGCAATAACCCATCTCACATTTCCGAGTGACAATTGCCCATTCAGAGAATTTTAAAATGAGTTCAACTAAAACTCTTATACTACCTAAGAAAAAGAAAAGTGAAATGAATCGCAGGTGGATTGGTGGATTTTCATAATGGTGGGTGAGTGGGAAAACCTGCCACCAGAAGGCATGATCATTATTAAGCTTGATAGTAATTACATCTATTTTCTCTGATAAAGGCTGGGTACTGACCTGTCAATGTTCCTAAGTTTTTGCCACATTTTTAACGCTGATACAAAATACTTCAATTGGAATACTTAGCTCTTTTCATAAGTGAATATTGCCCTTGGGTGACTTTTAAAGGAACTGTTATGACACTTGTTAGAGACGGCAAGGAAACCCTTACCTCACGGCGGCTGCAGTAGGGAAGGCAGGGCTCAGCGGGGAGCCCCAGACTGGTGGGGTGCTGCCCCAGAGCAGGTGGGCCAAGAGGGGACATCGGGGTTGGGGATTGTGGCCAAACCGACCTCCCAGGACTCCTGCTGAGGGCAGGCCAGGGGGGAGAGACAGGCACTGGGGTGGGGGTGGGGATCTGACCAGAAGTGGGGGAGCACAATGCCGCTCGGTTGGCTCCGTCCCCCCCACGGAAACTGGGAGGCAAGACGTGTCCCCTTGGTGTTCACTTCCCCAGGAGACGGCTCCCGCCCTTGCCGAGCCACAGAGCTGACAAAATCCCAGCTCGTATTCAAAGGGATCTGTATGTATAAAGAGAAGAGAAATAATTACGTTTTTTTTTTTTTAATAAACACTATGAGAAAAGGAATTGAGGGAAATCTCTTCCCTTATTTCCAACCTGGAGATTTAAGGCTCTTGTCTTTGTTTTGTGCCTGTGCTCACATAGGTCTGAACAACCGTGCAAACACTGCCACCGTGAGGAGGCCCAGCGGTGCAAGACACTGCCAAGGGCCCATGCTTAGGACGCCAAGTGGGACATCAGGATCGAGCAGGGCCACACAGGTAAGCCCCCCTGGACACCCGTGCTCTCTGCAGGTGCGCAAGTCCTGGGCACCAAGGGAGCCATAGCAACAGCCAATCTCAAACACACGCGCCACTAGGTCACTGCAGGTCCCACGCCACAGGCCTCCCAACGGCAAGCAGGGGACGTCTCTGACACGAGGACTGTTGACCTGCATCACTATTACCCTGTAAACACAAAACAACTATGAGGCATATGAAAAGGCTAGAAATGCAACCCGTCTCCACGCAAAAAGAAATCAGAAGCAGCCCAAATACGACACACATTTAGCATCTGACATGGAATTCTTGAAAACAGCCAGAGAGAAAGGAATTAGAAGAAAAACAGGTAAGAGTTCCTGCAGATTTCACATCAGAAACCATGTACAGCCAGAAGATAACTACACTGCATGTTTGATGTACTGTAAGGATAAAAACTATCAGCCCCGAACTTTATGCCCTGAAAAGTCTTTCAAAATAACTGAGAAATCAAAATAGTCATCCTGCCTGAAACAGTCTACAAAGTCAGTGCAATCCATACCAAAATACCAACAGCATTCTTCAAGGAACTAGAGCAAATAGTTCTAAAATTCATAAGGAACCACAAAAGACCTGGAATAGCCAAAGCAATCCTGAGAAGGAAGAATAAAGCAGGGGGATCTCGCTCCCCAACTTCAAGCTCTACTACAAAGCCACAGTAATCAGGACAATTTGGTACTGGCACAAGAACAGAGCCACAGACCAGTGGAACAGAATAGAGACTAGATATAAGCCCAAGCATATATGGTCAATTAATATATGATAAAGGAGCCATGGATATACAATGGGGAAATGACAGCCTCTTCAACAACGGGTGTTGGCAAAACTGGACAGCAAGAGAATGAAACTGGATTATTGCCTAACTTCATACACCAAAGTAAACTCGAAATGGATCAAAGATCTGCATGTAAGTCATGAAAACATAAAACTCTTAGAAGAAAACATAGGCAAAAATCTCTTGAATATAAACATGAGCAACTTTTTCCTGAACACATCTTGAGCAAGGTTCAACAAAATAAACAAAATAAAAAATGAACAAGTGGGACTACATCAAACTGAAAAGCTTCTGCACAGCAAAGGACACCCTCAGCAGAACAAAAAGGTATCCCACAGTATGGGAGAATATATTTGTAAATGGCATATCTGATAAGGTGTCAACATGCAAAATATATGAAGAACTCAGATGCCTCAACACCCAAAAAGAAATAACCTGATTAAGAAATGGGCAGAGGACCTGAACAGACAGTTCTCCAAAGAAGAAATACAAATGACCAACAGACACATGAAAAGATGCTCCACATCACTAATCATCAGGGGAATGCAAATTAAAACCACACTGAGGTATCACCTCACACCAGTTAGGATGGCCAGCATCCAGAAGACAAGAAAGAACAAATGCTGGTGAGGATGTGGAGAAAGGGGAACCCTCCTCCACTGCTGCTGGTTTGCAAATTGGTGCAACCACTATGGAAAGCAATTTGGAGGTTCCTCAATAAATTAAAAGTAGAAATACCATTTGACCCAGTTATTTTACTCTTAGGAATTTACCCAAAGAAAACAAGATTGAAAATACACACTAAGGATTGGAAAAGACATATGCACCCCTATGTTTATCGCATACCTAAGTGTCTCTCAGTAGATGAATGGATAAAGAAGAGGTGGTACATACACACTATGGAGTACTATTCAGCCGTAAGAAAAAAAACCCTACCATTTGCAAGAACATGGATGGAGCTGGAGGGTATTATGCTCAGTGAAATAAGGCAGGCGGAGAAAGACAAGTGCCAAATGATTTCCCTTATTTGTGGAGTATAACAACGAAGCAAAACTGAAGGAACAAAACATCAGTAGACCCATAGACACTGAGAAGGGACTTGTGGTTACCAGAAGGGAGGGTGGATGCGGGAGGGAGAAGGGGACAAAGGGGCACAATAATTCACAATCACAATATAGGTAGGTCGCAGGGATGGCAGTACAGCACAGAGGATACAATTACTGACTCCATAACATCTGACTGCGTTGATGGACAGTGACTGCAATGGAGGGGTGAGGACCGGATAATATGGGTGAAGGTTGAACCACAGTGTTGTGTATTTGAAACCAACATAAGATTGTATATCAATGATACTTTATTTCTCAGTACTTTTATTTTCTTTTTATTAAAGTCTTAGAGAAGAAAAAGAAAAAAAAGGACAATTAATTTACAGATTGACTCTATAAGAATGTTGAAGGAAGCTCTTTAGGCTGAAGTAATGTATCATCCTGAAGCCAGGATCTGTATAAGGAAATTAACAGTGCTAGAAATGGAATGAATATAAGGAAAAATAAATTTATTCTCTTAGTTTGAAATGCTCTAAAAGGTAACTCAGTCAAGCTAAAAATAGTAACAATGGCTTGTGTATTTATATGGCATACTTAAAAGTAGAATACGAGAAAATAGTCCAAAAAGTATGAGGAATTGGGAATAAATTGTTTTAACGTGCTGGTAATAAAGGGTAGACTGCTGAATTCAGGATGTATATTGTAACCCCAAGAAGACCTACTGAAAAAGCAAATACATAAAAGCGGTGTAATAGGTTAGTCAAGGAGATAAAATGGAGTCAAAACAAATGCCTAATTGAAAGAAGAAAAGGTGGAAAAGGAGGAAAAAAGTAAAGAGGACACAGAACAATAACAACCAGCAAAGAACAGCTCCAGAGACATAAACTTTCCAGAGTAAAGGAGCCCAAAGTGCATGGGAGGCCAGACCCTGAGCCAGGAGCGGTCAGGGTGAAGGCTGCACGGAGATAGCGAGCCACTGCGGAGAAAATGGTATGAAATGCACATAAATAGGTAACTGGTTGTATCAAAAGTAAGCCTCCCTATTACGTTGGTGGCTCTTCGGTTATGGAAAATAACACCCTTGTTCTTGGGAAATACAAACTAAAGAATTCCAGGGATAATGGACATGATTCTGAACTTTTCAAGTGGTTCAGAGAATGTGTGCATGTGTGTGTGCACAGGTGTTTGTGTGCACATGTGTGCATGCATGTGCGGGAGTGTGTTCATGTGGAAAGAGGGAGAGGGAAGGATGAGAGAAAGACAACAGCAAATATCTGAATCCAAATCTGGCTAAGGATGTAGGATTTTCTTTTACTATTATTGAAACTTTTTGATGTATTTAAAATTATATCAGAGTAAAACTTTACAAATATGTGTTTTAAATGAAGGTGAAATAAGAGAAAGGAGATCTGAACTCTGGCTCCTATAAACCTAAGTCCCCGTATCTCCCGATCTCTAATCCCCCTGATGGTTAGTTTCTCCCCAGACTTGAGTAAATGATCTGTAAAGGCTCATCTGCATGGCCGGGAGGATCAAGGGAGAGAGCAGATTCCCGTGGGTTATCTCGTGGATCAATGAGTGGCTTAAGGCAGACGTAAAAATTACTGAAAACCAGATATTCTATATGATACATTAAAACAGTCACTCCCAAGTGAGAAATAATATTCTTTGAGTTTATCAGATATTCTTTTCAGAGTATTTTTCCTGACTTTCCTTTGACATGCATCGGAATGGATGTATCAATCAAACCTACTTTTGCCAGAAGCACTGAGCATGTCTCGTGAGTGCTGACCTGCCCCCACCGACAGCCTCTCTCCACCTCTGTGCTGTCTGAATTTCTTCCTGTTTATGACATAAACTAAGATGATGCCCATTAAACCATTTAATTCTATGAAATCAGAGCGAGCACTTGTTCAGACATGGCATGTGGTCTGAAGAGAAAGGCGCCCCCGTTCCTTGCGTGGAATGTCTTTCTCAGGGCGAGGAAGGCTGTGGAAGCCGGGATATTCAGAACATAAAACAAAATCTTCCCTTGTCCCTTTTGTTCAGTCAAGGCACCGGGCCTCGGACGTTTCCACACCGTCTGGAATTCCCGCTCCTGTAGAAAGGCCACCAGGAGCCTCTGCCACATGGGTCTGGTGGGCCTGAGGCCTTTCTGCACATGCCGCTGAGACGGTAAGTCTGCGATTCGTGCCTGTGAGCTCAGGCGCCTCGGGCACCAAGGGTCCCGGCCGGGAGCTCATGCCCAGACCAGCAGGGACAGAAGTGCACCTGGCCTCTGGGCAACCTGGGGCCAGGAGCACCTCCATCTCCTGTGAAGGGCAAGTTCTGGCTGCCCCTGGCTTTCTCCACCCTCCTTTGTCAGCCAGGTTTGCTGTCCACCTGCTGAGACTTTTCGAAATGTTAGGGAGAAAAGTATTCCTCACATGGCAAAGAAGTGGAAACTTCAATGTTCAAATATGTAAGCCTGTTATATGAAAAAATCTCTAGGTGACCCAGGCAGTTAATGTAACTTTTTGACTTTGTTAATCAGAAGGAAAGAATCATTACTTGGAAGGAACAAACTTACAAGAGAAATTAAAAATCAGACGATCAAACCAGCATGCTGGCCCCTTCCTCCTGCACACTGAGAACTGAAATTAATTTCCTGGAAAACCAAATTTCCTCTGGCATGTTTTCTAGCTCACATGCTTCATGACAGCCATAAAATGTGCAAAACTTGGGAAAAGGGTTTGAAATCAATTGTGAGTCAATACTCATCAGCTCTCCTCCTAGGATACCTGTTCTCCTGATCCTTAAACAGACCCATTTCAGGCAAGGTTAATGGTTTCCATTAGGGGTTTTTGCCTAAATTCTGAGGTATAGAGATTTTTATCAAGAACTGGGGATTTAATTTTGCAAAGGATTAAAGAAAAAGCAGACAAGATTTATAGATTGCCTTCTCAAATAAAAGGACAGCGAGTCCCTTTAGGAAAACTAAAAAGTACTTCAAATTTTTATCTTCTATAAGATAAGCATTCAGGGCACCTTTCCAATGTTTTTGATTGATCAATATAGTGCTTCGAAGTGACCACCACCAAGCCTTTATCTTTACGTATTTCCGGGAGCATACAGGACATGCAGGCACCCTGGGACGCCTGCCGTCTGGGCAGCGGCCTCAGAGAGGGTGTCACTCATGGCCAGGATGCTGGCCTTTCCCCCTCTTGCCATTAGCTGCCCAGGGCATTCTTGTCCCGTCCCCGACTGACCTCCCTCCAAAGCCCCCAGTCAGGTGGTGGGAGCATAGGGGCCTGTGAAGGCCCCCCTTCCTATGTAAGCATCTCCGCAGCTTACCTGGCACCGCCGTTACCCAGCGTCCCCTTTGAGGTCCCTGTGGCCCGCCCTTCACGGTAATCGGCAAGTTACTGCTGCAGGAGGCATAGCGGCCGAGTGCGTGAGCCTGGCCGCTGGATCCAGTCCTGGTGTAGCAGGAGGGAGTAGGGGGTACAAACACGACCCGGCTTGCGTGGTTTTGAACAATTGAAGGAAAGCTTGAGCAAGAAATGGCAGCCAGAGGGGAAAAAGCACAACAAACCTGAGCTTCACCTTGTTGCAGTTTGACCTGCAGCCTGCTGGGCCCAAGGGGCGTGGCACAGGGACAAGCCCGTCCGCCTGCTGCTCGATTGGCCATGCCCTGTGTGTCAGCCCCTCCTGGGGCATCGGATTATTTAAAAACAAAAGCTGTGCATAAACCCCACGCCATTTCTCTGTCCCTCTTTGCATATTTATTCTCAAAAAGACACAGAGACAACAGAATGGATTTATTTTGTTTTTTACTCACCTCTCTGTTTACTATTTATGAAGTGCCCCTTGCTCCCTCTGGGTACAAAGCCTGAACAGAAGAACATAGAATTGCCAGCTGTCAGATGGGGATTGAGGGAGAAAATGTTTTGATTGCCAGGATTTAGGGAAATGAGCTGACTGGACAAATTAAATTTAAGATGCCTTTGAGATGCTAAAGTGGAGACAACCCCGTGTGTATCTTTAATGTGGAAAGGTGGGCGTCAGCAGGTCAGGCATACAGGGAGCCGGGCGCTGACCTAAGAAACCCTGCAAGGCCCTGGGAGGAGCTGCCGCAGAGCAGAGATGCTGTGTGTGCTCAGAGCAGCCCCACGGCCTCTGAGGATGGAGCTGCCCCGGCTGGTGGGGAAGGGCACTCCTGCCACGTGAGAACAGGGCGGCTTTGCCTGCAGCAAGGGTTGGGAGAGGGCAAGTTTGAAGAGAGCGTCCTGTCAGGGTTTAGCTTTGTTCCTGTTGGAGAACTGAGTACAGATGTGGGGAGGTGGAGACGTGGGGTGTGCAAAGGGATGGCGGCTGGGCGCCCACGGTCCAGGCCTGACCCCGGCTGCTGCACGATGGCCAGCTCCCTTACTCCTCTGCCCCCACGCACACAGGGGCCCTCTCAGAGGAAGCCAGCAGGCGACACCCCGCTCCTGGGAGCCCGTGCTGTACGCCGGGCCCCAGCCTTCCCTGTGCGTCTGGCCTCCCGTCTGTATGGAGCGGCAGAGACTCTGCCACATCGTGACCCAGGCGGCCTCAGTGTCCTGGCAGGTCCCACCCAGACTCGTCCAGGGGCACCTTGTGCTGCTCTTCCCGAGACTGTGGTGCCTGCGGTCTGTCCCGTGGCACTCACTGGTGCCGGACTGGGGGTGGCGTCCTGGACTCCAGGCAGAGCTGAGGGCAAAGGGGGAGAAGTGGGGTGAAGTCTGTCCCGGCCACCTCTGGGCCGCGGTGAGGCTCAGGCCAGTGCAGAAGCCAGCAGGGCTGAGGAAGCGCAGGGCAGCAAGAGCCACGTGAGAGGGGGTCCAGGCCGCCTTGTCGTGGAGTCTGTGTGACCACAGGTCCCACTGCAGGTGGACACTGTTGCTGGGGACCCACACGTGAGGCCTGCCTGGCCAGTGGGGTGGGGCAGTTCTCTGGAGGGAGGTCAGGCCAGGCACTCGGATGCCCCAGGCTGGCCACACTCAGTGCGTTGCCCTGACTGACGTCTGGGAGCTTGACACAGGCATTGTGGACGTCTTTTCCGAGTTTCCTGTACAATGGAGTCGCGTGCGGGCGTGAGGGAGGCCTGGTGTTCCTCCGCGGAGGGGCCTTTATTGGGGGTTTTATGTTGCGTAAATGCCGCCGCAGAGGACGACCAGGGCTCAGGGCCAGGAAGCAGTGCGGGGCCAGGTGTGCTGGTGGGCGTGCGAGCAGGCGCGGGGGCAATCCAGGAGGGTGGGCCTGGCACCTGCGTTGCCTTCTGTGATGCCTGGTGGCAGGGGTTGTCCACATTTTCAGTTTCCTCCCAGATTTTGTTCCCTCTGTTTCTTTCACTCCACATGTGATCGGGTCACTGCCGTGGGGGAGGCCTGGCAGGGCACATAAGGCCAGTTGGGTACATAAGGAAGAGTTCAAGGAAAGAGGTGGTTAACTGGTCCAGTAAATGCACTCTTCAGCTTTCAACAGATGATAGCTGCCACATCATACGCCTGGCAGGTACTTTACCTGAAGTCTCTAGGGTGAAACAATGCTGAAGACCTTCATCAGGGATACCGGTTCCTGATCCGCACACAGAGATAAACAGATGCTTGATTTTATTCCGCAGGAGGAAAAACTGATACTGAGCTGTAGATGGCTTCTCAAAGTTGGCCTTAAAGTTAATGTGACCGCAGCCAGACCTCTTCATGTCTCACAAACCAGCTGTGACTGTGCCGACAGGCAGAGCGTCTGGGTGTCCTCCATGCAGCTCAGCCACAGGCCCCTTCTCCACGCCAGCTGCTGTGGGTTTACAGGGCAGTGAAGTATTTCTCTCTGGAGACTGGAGTGTGTGTGCACGTGGGTGGGAATGCAGGATGGGAGCAGCGTGCCAGACCCAGAGATGGGAGGTGAAGCCCAGGCTCCACTGTGACCTGACACATCCTGTCATTCTGTAACTGCAGTTAGTGTTATTACAACAGAACTTGGGGCCTGGCATACAGTAAATTTTCAGTAAGATGAAACTGGGCGACACGGACATGAGGTCTGGCCCCAGTTCCAGAGGCTCTCACTCAGTCTCCGAGGAATTTTCCCATTGGCCTATGTTGAAGGTCACTAGGCGTCCCCACTTGTCTGCAGCGACCCACTGAAGCGTCTTGAGGATGGCTGCTCTGAGCCTCAGATGATGGCAGTGCTGTCACTGCCAGCATGCACCGTGTCGTTCATCCCCTTTGGGGTCTTCTGTTTCTCGTATGATGTGGCTTTCAGTTGAAACCGGGACACATTCGTGCTGTGGTATGACACCTGCATCTTGGCCCTCTGTGGGCAGCCAGGCCTCCCTGGCAGGTGGGCCCTGGAAGCCTCAGAGCTGTGCCCACAAGCCCTTCAGTGACATGGCAGGAGCGTGTGCCCCTCGGTGGTCTTTCTGGACAGTGGTTTCCTGTGGTGTTGGCTGAAGTACAGAGGTGTGGCCTACATGTCCCCATAGGCTGACCTTCCCATTTCTCAGGCCAGAGAGGGCAGTTCTGTTCACTGCCATTGGTATTTCCAGGTTGATGGCTTCCTCTGCCCAGGCAGGAGTCAGTATACGGCAGAAGATAACTGGGGACCTTGGCAGCATGCTGTTCCAAGGGTCCTAGGGCTCCCGGCCATGTGACTCTTCTTCTCAGTGCCTTTCAGGGTCTTCTGGTGTCCGCCTCCCATCTCACATCCATGGTGTCCTTAGGGGAGGAGTAGGAGAATGTGCTCCTGCCCAGATCTCCTTGAAGCAGGCTCCTGGAGAGAGTCAAACAGGTTGAATGACTGAATTGAACACAAGGCAACACCACCCATCTTTGCATCATTTTCTGAGTTTTAAATTGCTGATCAGATGCACATAGCTCAACCCAGAATTAATCAGTGTGCCTAGGGAATGCAAACTAATATAAATATTAGCTTTGATAAAAGGTAATTAAACTGATTTATTTCAAATTCAAATACTGATGATTTAGAGATTATCAACTCTTGTGATTAGGTGAAATTGGAGCTGGAGCATTTTCTCCCTAAAAGACTGACTTTACTGGATGTAGTTCAAGATGGGAAAGTTAGTAAAGAGCCAATAAGTAGATGTGACCTAGGAAGTAAGGAGGCCCTGGGGACAGGGTGGCCCCAGGACTGCGTGGCCCTGGTGGGGGGAGTGTCCCCGGCTCCAGCAGAGTCTCTCCCGTCTCACCTGCCCCCCTCCACACTAGCAGCCGTGTCTGGGTCACACACTGTGTTGACAGACACCGAGAGTCGCTCAGGACTCAGTGAGGAGACACAAAGTTCTCCTCAACTAACTGGCCTTCCATGGAGGCAAGAAAGAAATGTGGTGAAGTACAGCCCGTCATCTTCTATTTCAGGGTAAAAAGAGCAGAGGAAGGGGAATGAACACATGCTCACTGAAAAACGAAAGAACCTGCCCAAATTCAAGTTATCTGCACTGAAAACTCATTTGCATGTGAGGTAAGATTTTACTTGCCTTTATTACAGTATGCTTTGGGTTTTTTCCCCTGTAAATTACATGAAAGAAGGATTTATAATTTGGGGTCATGTATAGAAATAATAATAGGGGTTTCTTCCTGTACTTTGATGACACCACTGCATATGATCCTGTGTCTGCAGATGTGTGTGATCTCTGTCCACCTTCCAAGGCCTTCATCCAACACGGCCTAAGGTTGCTCTGACTTCAAAGTGTCAGCCGTGGGTTAGGGTTTGACCCCTTTTCTACAGCAAAAGGCAGAGATGTAAAAGGAGGAGGGGGAGCGACCTTGCTGGAAACCGGGGGGAAGAGCTTCCCAAGCCAGCGAGGTGACAGGGCGGGGCTGCGGTTCAGGCTGGTGTGGTTCTCTCCGGGAGCTGTGGTTTGATTATGAACTGCGAGCAGCAAACACTGCAGAGAGACCCCGGACAGGTCACTCAGCACAGGCTCTCACGCCATGAAAAGTGAGCGTGCTTTAACATAATATTCCTTAAGGAAAACAGTCATGCAATATTTATATATACAGACAGTATCAAAATTATTATCACTAAAAAGTGTGACTGTTTTGAGCACGGGGAACATCATTTCTAAGCTTTATGATAAATTTAAGAGGGTATTACCTTGAGTATGTCTATAGCATATGTATTATTTATCTAAAGGTGTTATTTTACTGACATTTTTAAGGTCAGATGCATACAGTGGCAAACTACTAAACTGCAAACTAATTGGCAGGAAGATGCTTAATTAGTGTTTAAAATCTAGTAAATGAAAGGGTAAATATTTTATTAGCAGGGAGCAACCTAAGTATATGTGCAGTGACTGACACACCCGTGTTAGGATCTCCAACGGCCGTGGTTTAACCATGTCTGCTTATAAGTCATAGATGATGTACGACCTATGTATGTATGTGAGAGTACTGAGTAACTATTAGGGAAAGTTAAGTCAAGACTGCCTGCAGAGGACCACACAGGTATGACTTGCACGTGCCTTACCTGATTGTGTGTGGTCTGCCTGTTACGTCCATCAGTAGTTTCCTCAAGCTGCTTCTGCAGGTGAGCACAATGGCTGCCCCTGCCCTCTGTGATGGGAGCTGACTCACGTGCTTCCTGCACACCTCATGTTGAGCCCCGAGTATCCAGCCTACTTCTCGCTGGCTCACAGGCTTACCACTGCATCATCTCAGTTGGTGAGGTAGGCAAGGGAGGTTTCGTGGCCAACCTTTCATGCCACAGCCATGCGCTCTCACCCAGCACACCTAATTGTGCAAGAGGTCTGATGGGTAACTAACTGACTTTCACTTGACATGGTTATGAACCAGTGTCAAAGGATACTTAACTTATTCAAGCTTTGCTTAGTTGTTTAAGCAGTGAGGTGAGGGCAGGCAGTATGAGAGGCAGGCCTGGGGAAAGCACTGTGCACCCACACTTTCTCCTCCCGAGAGAGCACCCTCTGACTCCCACCCTTAGACACACTTCTCTGCTGCGTCCACCAGCAGGTGGAGTCGCAGCCTCCCCTCGTGCTCCCCGAGCACATCTCCAGGGCCATGTGTGCAGACTTCCCCCTGTAGGCTGGGATGGGGGCAGCGCTTCTGTCCTGTTCGAGCGTGGCATTGCCCCGCATCCTTCTCTGTGTGGTCTTGTCTTCTTCCCCAGGTGCAGGCTCCATTTCTCCCGACTGGGGAGGTGCCCATTGCTGTGCGTCTGACCAGCCCATGAGCCCTGCCCCACCCTGAGAGACTCCTGCGCTGATCACAAAGGTGGCGGCGGAAGCAAACTGTCAGCACAGGGGGAAAGGGGGGAAAGGCTCCCCCTGCACCCACTGAACTCCAAGAGCTGCCGGTCCTGCAGAATAGAACTGAACCAGGCACCAGACAGTAAAGAATCCTGAGCTTCTGGGCACCTTAGATGCCTTTTTCCATTAAGCTATGACTCTACAGGCCTGGAAGCATAGCAGAGCCATCATCTAATGCAAAGAAGAAACACAGAAATCCAGACAAAATGAAGAAGCAGCGGAGTATGAGTCAAACAGAAGTACAGGTGAGAACCCCAGGAATGAAAGAATGAGCAGAAAGCTGTGTGAGGAGTCCGCGCACAATAGGGGTACCAGAAGGAGAATAGGGAGACAAACGTAAGGAAATCGTTGCGGGAAGGAAATAAGCACTCAGGTCACAGAGACCCTGACAAAAGGAACCCCAGGAAGAGAACACTAGACATATGATCATTAAAATGACAAAGATCAAGGATAAGGAGAGAGTGCTGAAAGGAGCCAGACAAAAAAGATTACTTATAAAAGAAATCCCATCAGGCTGTCAGCACAAACTCCAGAGGCCAAGGTCCCAAACACAAGGCCCTCCAACCAGTGTGAGTACCACCTTTTACATTTGGAACAGGTGTCAGACAGCTTCCAGATAAACACCAGGCCATCACTAGGCCAGCCTTACAGGACATCTTAAAGAAACTGCTGTTTCTCCAGCATAGATCCCATACTAGGACACAAAAAGATCAAAATGGTATCAAGCAGCCTCTTGGGCCACCATGGTGTGAAACTAGAAAGAAGCCATACAAACACATGGAAGCTAAACAACAGTCCCCAGTTGGGCCTGCCCAAGAGCCTGCAGCGTGGGAACAGGAGCTCAGGGCGTGTCCTCAGCTCCGGGAATACAGTGCCACCCTCCACCGCTCCTGGAGAGCCCGGTCCTCAGGCGAGGTACAGGGAGCAGATGGGGTCCCAGAGCGACACCTGAAGAGGCTGACTCAAGAAGGCGGTCTCCCTCCTGCCCATTGCGTGGCCAGAAACACCGCTCAGCGAGCAGGCCTTGGTCCCTTCAGCTGCTGTAGGTCCGGCCTTCCCAGACCCATGACTTCCTCCTTGACACAGAGCCAGCTGCCTGAGTAAGGCGAGTCACCTCCCCGGCCCGATTCCAACAGACCCTTCAGGAACTGGCCGGGGTGCCTCTCTTCCAGCCAGGAGACTTAGTCTTAGTTAACACAGTCTTTCTCTCGCCCTGATCTGGGAAGGACCATATAAAATAACCCTCTCCACTCCCCCTGCAGCAAAAGTAACATGACACGAGTCTTACCCCTGACTGAAGCCCCCCTCTGAATGAGGAGGACTCCCTGCCCCATTCATAGGGGATCTGAAGTCTCTTCATAGGTGACAACCACATCCGCTGTGTTCTTCCAAAGATTCTCTCAAGAGCTTAAGACGCTTTAGACTGACTGGCCAAAGATCTCTCAACGCTTCAGAACCAGACTGACCACCTGGTGGCATGGTCTAGACCTCCTCACAGCAGAGAGAGGAGGTCTTTGCCATTTTCTCCAAGAATGTTGTTTCTACATCAATCAATCAATCAGGCATCATACGAGATAAAAAAACGAGATCAGGCAGACAAACTATGCTGTGAGACCTAAGGCTCCTGAGCCCTCGTTCAATCTAATGAAGTGGATCCTGTGAGTTGTACCATTTTTAGGACCCCTCATTATAATTATCCTTCTCATAATCTTTGTTCTCATAATCTTTGGCCTCTGTATCCTAAATCTACTAACAAGATTTGTCTCTTCCTGCCTAAATGGTGATGCAAATGGAACCCAGTGTGACAGTCTGTCACGGCCCATGGGATAGGCCCCTCAGACAGTGAACCCGGCCATCACCCACTGCCAGCAGCTCGAGCAGTCATCACCCTTCTTCCTACGGGTAGTTAGGGTTACCTCTTCTGAGGGGCACTGAGGCAGGTGACGGTGGGGCTTCGGCAGACAGCGTTCAAGGCTGCGGTGAGTTTCAAGGCCCTGTGTGTCGCATGGCCATCTAAGTCTCAAAAGGCTTCCAGTCCAACTCAGCCGTTCAAAGCTACACTTAGACTTAGACCTCAGCTCTGACTGGTATACCCCATGCGAGGGAAGCAGCGTACCTTCAGCCCGGCAGGAGTGAGCTGTGACAGCATCATCCCCGCCTCAGTTGTCTGTTAGGTCCATGGGGTGGAGCTTCCTCCCTTGAAGAAGCTGCAGAACCCCTTCTTCTTTTCACTCCTTATTAAAAGCTCTGCTGGCTGCTCTGTACTCGTCTGCTGGCTCCATTCCTCAGTGACTCCAAGACACGATCCTGGTGAAAACAGCATCTTGGTCAGTAATACTCTTGACTGTGGCCCTGACCTTACCCCTGACTGTTAGCCCCTAACCCTTAAGCACAATGACAGATCAATCTCAAGAAAGAACAGAGCTGGCGGCATCACGGTTCCTTATTGCAAACAAAGCTCTAGTCATCCAAACATTGCGGCACACAGACAGCTGGCTCAGGAGTGCATGCCCCGAGGTAAACCCATGCGGAGATGGCCAGTGAGTCCCCCAGCAAGGAGCCTAGGGCAGCAGGAGCAAAGGTTAGTCTGTCTCCTCAGGAATGATGCTGGGGAACCTGAGAGCCACTCAGGGAAGAGCCACAGACAGCACCTCACACCGCAACACAAACTAAGTGAAACTCACCATTTTCCATATCCCGCCAGAGCCCTTTGGACTAATTTCTGCAAATCTTATTTTCAAATAAAAGCATTTATGGGGCTCTTCATTTTGTATGTTTTCCCTAGGAAACTATTTCCCTCTTGGAAAATATAACTTCCCATTAAGAAGAAATAAATTTTTTTAATATAAGAAGCAGTGGTCAATGTGATTCACTCACCCTCAAAATCTGAATCTTAGGCTGCTAACAAAACTGAGAGAGGTACTAATTTTCAAAGCAAAAAGAAAACGTACCATTGGACAGAGAACAGTGCGGTGCTCTGGGTGGTCTGAGCAAGAGGGTGTGGCCTCAAAGGCCCTGTGCTTACAGATGGTGGGGAGGGGGCACCCAGCCCCACAGAGCCTTAAGCATGGCTCAACACAGGCCATCCCCTGATCTCAGTGCCCTTCACCAGTCAGATACCCTCCCCGTGGAGAGGCCCCAGGACACAGAAGAGCCGGCAAAGCACCACCTTCCCCCAGCACTACCCAGATGTGCCCATCAGGCTGTGTCAAGAACACTATAAACATCCTGGTGGGGAACCAGCTAAGGCCATGGATGGCATGTCTTTGGGGCATTAGGGGCAGGTTGACAGTGCGCGCAGGTCCCTGCTGCCACACTGTGCCACCTGCCATGGACACATCACTCCATGGCTGAGAAGCCCGAGGGGATTGGAGTTGAAATATTTTATCTATACATATGTATTCATATGCACTTAGATATTCATATTTTCTCTATACCTTCGAGATTGTACAGTATTTAGAAATGCCCACTTATTTCACACAAATGCATGGTGAAGGTTAGAAAGGATGAGATCACAGAGAGGCTGATTAATTCCTTGTTCAAAATAATCTTAGAATATTATGTTGAAAATATAAACAAGGAAAATGTGAGCTCTAAAACCTCTGAATGTCACTCCAAGATAACATATACAAACAAACATGTCATCAACTAAATAGCATAAAATGAAACAAAAACATGAGCAACTTGGAAAATAAAACCTTGATGCTGCTACTGTTAAAGGAGCATCAAGGTCAAAACATCCATCTTGTTCATGGGATGCAGAAACATCCAAATATTTTATGAGCAACTAAAAAGTGTATTCCAGCTATGAAACCCGGAAAATGATTTGCATGTGCCAAAAAACAGGGTACTTTGGTATTTTAGGGCCACTTGCCACGGTTTCATTATGCGATAAGAGAAGTGAATCCCCACCACCACCATTCACTTAACTTTAGGTTTCCCGATTTGGCTGAATGATCATCACGTCCCCAACACTGCACACACGTTGCCCACATGCTGCCCTTCAGCTCCAGGGTCGCCCACCCCAGACACGGAGCCTGCCGCCCCCACCCCAGGATGCCCTAGAAGATGCTGTCACCATCAGCTCTGGCCTGGGACATCATAGCCTTTCAGACGCCACTAGAGTCACGTTGCTCCTCACAGGCTGGCTGCGGCCCCTTCTCTACCTGGGCCAGCTTCTCCAAGGCCGGCGCTTGCTGGGCATAGTCTGGGGACATGGCTGGATAGCCTGGCCTGACTTGACAGCACCACAGCACCCGCGTGGGGCCGGTGGTGGGCATTGTTGCACTGCTGCCCAGGGGTGATACACACTCCCTGTGGTATTTGTCTTTGTGTTTTTTGTTTCACTGCAGTTCAGTCATTTCCTCTGAAATGAAATCATTACATCTGCCTTTTACTCCTGTAATTCATTAAAAAAATTTCCTAGTATCCTTTTTCCCTCATATGAACTCTTCAAATGTATACTCCCACACAGAATTAATCCATTTCCACCTAAAAGATGCTTTACACTCATGTGTCTCAAAAGACGTTTTGCAATATGCCTATATTATAAAATACCCATTACATCTACTTCACATTAACAAGCAAAGTTCAACAATTTGAAACCCACATTAGCAGTTTCCTCAGAATTATGAGTCATCTTATCTAGTGAGTATCTTATTATGGGACTTTGACCATAATTTAGGTCAAGAAAGTAAAAAAACCAGTCAGCATTGCCTGGCTGCTACACCCATGCATGGTCCGGTTTGTACTCTCCAGAGAGGAAGCCCCTGAAGAGCTGTCGGCCTCACTTCACAGTTGTGCAGAGGGGGGCCACGCTCGAGATGGGACCCCGCGTGGCTGGGCTTCCTGAAGTTAATAGCTAGGAACTCATCGGTCTTTACACTTCACCACCTTCTGTATCACATCCTATTTATGATACATAAAAATTCACTCAGGAAAGAAATGGTCATAAGTTGGGTTTCAATCCTATCTCTGTTCATCAGCATTTTAAAAATATTTCATAATGCACTTTAGCTCAACCATGTATTCATGGGGATATTTACAAATTTAAAGAAAGTATGTAGGTGGGGGGTAAAGTAATGATCTGATGGGCTAGAAATATGGGTTCTGATATGACGTATGAGCTACATATGACAGCTTTATGAGAGAGTCTTTAATATCAATAGCTTCTATGTGATTTCAAAATACCGCTAACAACCCAATGACCCGAGATGAGGGACACCGAAGCAGGCGCAGAACATGGGCCAACACCGAGTGTGCACGTGAGAACTCGCTGTGACCAGCACGGGTCAGTGGTGCCCAGATGCCAGCTGAGGCCGACTGAAACAGGTGGTGATTTTCACCTGAGCAAAACGAGAGATGCAGAAATGACAGCACATCTGAAGGAAAATAATCGGAAGGAAGTCAAGTAGAAAACATGCCGTGCACGCCCTGAGGCAGGTGCTCCAACCCTGCGTCCAGTTTCACAAGTCTGGACCATGAAATGTGTTATTTGGAAACACCTAATTGTCTCTGAAAGATGACGAATTTAACACACACAAGCCCACTCTCTGAGACGTGCAATAGGCTGTCTTGCTAGTGTGTCAGTGTTACGTGTGCCTTGACTCGGCTCTTGATCTGCTGACCTCCACCGTGCCAGTGAGAGAACAGGTGATGCTTGGGCCCCCCACCCTCCTCCTCTCCACCTCAGTCCTCGCCACTCTGGGCCTCTTTTCCCTGTAGGCACGGAACCCTTTCCATATTCCCACCCTCAGGCTACTCTTGGGCTCCTTGCTTCACTAGACTTAAAATTTCATGAGCATGTGACACACATGGTCTGTCTCCCGTGCGACTGGAGACGGGAGGTTAACCAGCTCCCAGCACAGGCCTCTCAGTTCCCACCCAGGGCAGCACCTTCCCCATGAGCAGGGAGAAACAAATGCCCGCAGTGAGGCTGGACTGGCCCTGCACAGGGGCCCCTGTGCACACTTACACATTTGTCACATGCCATTGCTGACATCCAGCAGGCACAAAGTGCCCCTGGACACTGTGGGGCTGGGCAACCTCAGCTTTTAGCACTAGAAAGACCAGGAGCTGACCCAGAAGAGATGGACCCAAGAGAACTGGATGTTCACAGGTGGTGTAAAGGACAGTGAAGAAATACTCAAAGATAATGGACTTACTCCATCTCGAGAGGTCCACGGAGAGAAGTCGTGCAGAATACCCTTAGGAGTTCGCGCTTGGGGTGGAGCTGTGGACATCTGTGCTGCATCCACGTGATTCTCTGCCTAGTGTGATGTTCTGACACACCCTTCCTGGCTAGAGAAGCTGCCCACCCGCTGGGGCTTCCCAGTCCTAAGAGATGGGTCCCCTGCCTGTGACATGCCATCCCACCCATCCAGAGCCACACCGACTAAAGTGGCTGAGATGCCCTCCAATAGTGGCCTGTCGGCTGGAGGCTGAGGTCACTAGGTGGTTTGATTCTGCCAAGTGGGAAGGCCTGAGAACCAGGGCAGCTGACCGTGTGGACCCCAGTCCACAGGCAGGAGATGATGAGATGGGGTGCCCCAGCCCTAACAGTGAGGCAGGAAAAGGGGAATAATTCCTCCCTGTCTGCTGTTCTGTTCAGGCCATCAAGGGACTGGGTGAAACCCACCCACGAAGGGGAAGGCATCTGCTTTATGGAGTCCACTGAATCAAATGCTCACCTCACCCAGAAGCACCCTCAAACAAACCCATCCACACTGTAATCCGGGCACTAGGGACCCATGCTCCGTCGGTGACAGCCAAGCTCACTTGAGCAGGCCCTCCCATGAGAACAGGTGGAGCATACCGGCACACACACATGTACACATGTACCCATGTACACAGTTTCTTTTCTGAATCAGAAAAAGTAACAATTAGATTCTATTAAGTTTATACACAGTAGACATGACTTGAAATATTCTACTCTTAACAGAGCACAGGAGGAAAAATTAATACTCATTACACTAAATTTTTAACAGTTTCTGAGAAGAAATCATTAAAACAAGAACTTTAGCTCATTTTGCAAAACTGTCCGAGAAGCAGATGCACTAGATGGACAGCAGAGCTCCACCCCCATCTCTTAATGGTCAGTGTGACCTTTCAGTTCCCAGGGTGGTTCCCTCAGAGTCCCCGCAGCCACCAAGACTGGCACAGCCGGCTCAGTCCATCACAGGACCCTCAGGTGACCCTCCTGGGGCGGCCTCTGTGCCAAGGTGTCCAAATGCAGGGGGCCAGCAGGTGGGGACATGGGGTCACACTGGGGCCACCTGCACGGTAAGCCCCGATCCCCACCCCTGCAGGCGCAGCAAGGAGGAGACACAAGCCTCCGAACAGAGCCAGTGAACCTGAGGCCCTCAGGGTCTCTTCTGAGCTGGTGCACTTTAGAGGTCAGACTTTCCAAGGCCAGAGAAGGACAGCCATTTTGTTCCAAGTAAAGAACAAGGCGCACTATATTAAGGTAAAAAAAAACCTGATTTAATAGTCTTTTAAGTCACTGTAGCCACTTCCAAGCTATATGAACATCAAACCCTGGGACTAACCACTCCACGCAGCCCCCAAGGGGCACACAGGAGCCCCTCAAGTGGCCCATCCAGCGCAGACCCCCTGCCTGCCCGCCTGAGGCCTGCAGGGAGCTCTCCCTGATGGTCCAGCCGAGTCTGTGTCCCCAAACGGGAGCGCGGGTGTGGAGGAGGCGCTGGGAGTAGGAAGTGTGACGTGCACCATGGGGGTCTGTGGGCAGCCCCGCGCATCCCAGAACCTTCCAGCAATGTGCTGGAACCAGCCAGGGGTACACGCAGGCACACGGCCTCGCTAAGTCACTGCCATTTCCTCTACCGCA